GCCCCATCCGCGGCCTCGGAACAAGTTGCCACACACCCGACTAGGCTGAGGCTGAAAGGCTGAACGTTAATTGCATCCACAAACATATGCACAAAAACAGGCACACACACACACGTGGACAGCTTCTGCTATTAAGACGACTTGCCCATGGAGCACAAGTTGGTTCCGTGCGATCTCAACCGTGCAAGTCTAAACATGGCTATTTTATTCAAGTCGATTGAGGTCACTTGATGTCACTTGGCCCGCTATGCTGCAGCTTGACAACAAATGAGTGCAACAAGATAGAGACAAACCGCTACGATGAATCACCTCAGACCAGTTCTGTTCGCACAGTTGTGCAAAGGACAGGACAGCACCAAGACACAGAACCTCCGATTATGCCGTGCAGCGCCATTGTGATTCAAGCATCTTTATATATCCATGTAACATAGTTAGACAGGGCTCTTCATTGCCCTGGGGAAATTATATTGGGATCATATGTCAATGCAAAATGCCTTGGATGCTAGATTGTGTCCCTGAGAAGCTGGTGAGGATTTCGAACATGTCCTTCGTAATTCACGTACCACCTTCTGAATTACACTGACCGCTGCATTATACTGCACTCACCAGAACACAAGTGTACATAAGCTTCATCATACCTAGGTTTGTGTAAGGTAGGTTTATCTCCATGTAAGAGCACCGGGGAAAAAAAAAAGAAGCATAGACCCTAGATAGCGAACAACCGCACAAGTACCCCAAACTGCATGCCCCCTAGCACCCTGCCCCCAATCTGGCAAGAATGCGCCCGCGTCGTCACAAGCACCTCCAGCACCCCGAATAGCACCCTGCCGACAATCCCAAGCAGCATCACCCAAAACAGCACCGCATGCCCCCCAGCACCCGGCCGTCAATCTCGCAAAAATGCGCCCGCACAGTCGCTAGCACCTCAAATAGCACCACAAGCAGCAACCCAAAACAGTGCCTGTAGCACCCTGCCGTCAATCTCGCAAAAATGCGCCTGCACCGTCACCACCACACCAAAACAGCACACGCACCAGCACCCCAATCTGCATGCCCCTTAGCACCCAGCCGTCATTCTCGCAAATCACTGTCCCGTCTTTATTGGAAGTTAGAACCCCATAGCTTTCAGCTATCTGGGGAAAAAACAGCATAGATTTTCAATAGCACACGCTCGCAGAGCAGTCTTGAGAACTCTTTGATTTGAGAGGTTCGAGTATCGATTGATTCCTGTTTCAGAAGGCTGACTATCTTTCCCCTGCTTTCCGCATGATCTCTGATTCCTCCGAATGGAAAATGATGGGACACATATTCAACTCGACCGCTTCTTTGAAGGGGTAAGCTGACCCCAATGGTACAATCATCTGAGCAAACAAGTGCAACTCAGACTGAACAAACGCCACCCTCGAAAAGGGAATATCACGGCTGGAATTGCTCGTTTGTCCCAGGGCTCGCCTTCTTGTTCGAGCTGTCACGTGGAGCATAAACTAGTTCGCGGAGTTTTGAGGCTCTACTTTGCATTTATCTCTTCTCCAAGGGGAACTGGAAGTTCATCGTCATCCGCGAGGGGAACTGGAACTTCATCGCTGGGATGCTAGACACCCTCTCCCCCAAAGTCCGTTTTCAACAGGGTTCACCACTTCAAAACGCCCCCCTTTCCGCCAACCCCCAAAGCCAAGGCCTCCGAGTCATGGCTGGGACTCCCTGCAAGCCCTTCGCCCAGGAAGCCTTCAGCTTGGCCTTGGATCACCCCTTCCCCTGCGTCTCAGGGACCAGAGGATCGCTCATGGCCGCACGTCCCACGAATCCTATGTCAAGTGAGACAAAGATGCCATAGATGGGAATCAAGTATCACAGAAAGGGTCCATTTTCCGCAATGATTGTAGCTGTGTCTCAACATTGCTGGGTCACACAGATGGTCACAGCTTTGGCTAGCTTGGGACACTGAGACCTACAGCCCGGACCTCCAGTTGTGGTGATTTGGATTGGTGGTTTGGTGGTTGAGGAGGGGCCTCCCATTGTGTCTTGTGTCTTGTGTTCAAGTCAACCAGCGCGAGAATGCGCTGTTGGGGTTTGAGGCCCCGCAGGGTCCCCTCCCCGCTCAAAGGTCGGTAGCGGGTCTGAGGGGGCAGCCCGCTTCAACCCCCGGCAGACAAAAACCAGAGGTTCAAATCCCAAACCACCAATCCAAACCACTAACTAAGGGATATCTGATTGAACTGGGTTTCCCCCGCCAACAAAACAAAAAACGGAGCTTTCACTGAAGGTCCCGGACCCGATGAGCCAAGCGACCGATCAAGCACTTCAGCTCATCCAGCAGGTCGACCACCCGGTGCTTCCGTGCCCGCTTCACCATCTGCCGCGAGCGGAAGGAGCAGGATCCGGGATCGCGCGCAATTTGTGGGATGAACATGTGGAGCCGTTGGCCAATGGCAAAAGCCGAAACTCAACGAATCATTTGCCCTGGCCTTCCCCCCAACAACCACATCAAGGAATGAAGTTGGACACCTGGCGTGATTACACCTTGCAGGCCCAGCTTTAAGGCTCTTGAAGCCACTGCATAGGAGCAGGGCCAAGCGTGCGGCAGTTTGATCCCAAGCAAAGCAGGGCACAACATCGCTAGCTTGGCACCTCGAGCAAAGAGTGTTGCAGTTCTGCATAAAATCAAGCTGTGAAGCAAGACTGCCGCTTGTGGCGCGATTGCACACATGGGGAAAGGCAACCCCGACCACTCTGCCCTCGAATGAAGGTCCAAAGAAGCTGCCAAAAACGCAAAGAGAGACCACTTTGGGCTTTCGTCGATGCATGCGAAGGCAGCTGTTTTACAACAGCTGACACATCAAGCCAGTATGTATTTTGCTGCCTTCCTGCCTGCAAATGTAGTTGGAGGAATGGCAGCTTGTGTCCACTCGTTGCCCTGTAATGCTTTGTCAAGGGGCATGAGGCATTTTGCGAATCATTCGCCGTGCTCACCTCTCTTCTCCCCAAACTAAGCAGCCCTATTTTGAGGGGCCCTTACAAAGGAGCCACCTCCAAAATCTGGCGTTCAGTATAGGGGCAGTCTATCTTTCTGGGATGTATATCTAGACAATATGACTTTGTCTCAACACGTTGGGCACCCGCCATTGGGCGGCGTCTTTTTTTTGCTTCGCTCCCTGAGGTCCGGACTTTTTCGTCACTTCGCTGTGGACTTGTCAACAAATGGGTACCCAAAATGGGTTGCCCTGCCAAATGAAGCCAAGGACTGAAACCTGCGGTCCCCTTCTGGTTTACTGTTGAGCCACACCCACTTGGCCATGGGTCAAAATCCAAATCGTACCCCCAGTGAACATCCCAATCCAAACACAAAAATCGGTTCTAAAATGGGTGAAAAAAAATCACCTACCCCAAAACGGGGGATTGGTTTTGACCCGGCCACTTTTTCTGAAGCCCATTTACTCAGGGCCATCCACACTTAGCCTTTCGCCGGCTTGTGGCGGTTCACGGTCGCGCGCTTTACGGTCGAGGTGTCTTTGGAGCGGTGAAAGGGCCCACGCCTCCTCTTCGGCGCCTGCCCGGAAGAGGGCGCCCAGCAGCCCCGGCTCAGCCGACTCCGTCTGGCGCCAGCCACGGGCGCCACGGGCCCCCCGGGCCGAAAAACAGATGGTTCTGCCTGAAAAAACTGGTTGATTCAAAGCGGGTTGTCCCCTTTTAGTGGGGATTCATCACTTTTAGAGGGAACGCCGCCCTAATTGGGACGGGTTTGTTGATCCTGGGTCATTAAAGAGCGGCTATTCGGTGGGGGCGAGGAAGTGCATCCTGTGTTTGTTCATGGAATTTGCGTTCTAAGACCAAATCGCCTTGCTCCCCGCAAGCGCTGGCCAGGGGTCGGGCAGGCAAAATGTGGTTGTGTGTTTTTGCTGAGCATGACCAAACAAATGCGAATGCTCAGGCGGTGGGCAGGGATCTGATGGCTGTTAAAGGCGGTGGCATTCAGTTTTATGAGCTTGATCTTCCCAAGTCATCACAAGACGTTGACTCTTGTGAACATGTCAACATGTTCTGTTCCAATACGACAGCACTCAGGGCAAATTTGATTGAAGGAATTCATCTCAGAGGGGTCGACGGCACTCCATGTGTCGGAAAGGGCGACACATACTTGCCCTTGGAGCAATTTCCTAAGCTATGCAAACACCTAGGTACTCTAAGCCATCCTGAAGTCAAGCCTCGCAAGCCTCTGGCAAGGGAAAAATTATCTGATCCCCATCTCAAAAAAATGACGGACGGAGGTGCAGGCAGAGCTCTCGTGTCTTGGCCAAAGGGCGGGGACAACATGCTGAAATGGTTCGCGCTCTGAAATACGTCAACATGCCATCGAGACACTTCATCAACACTTTGTGGTGTGTGACCGTTGTTGCTCGAAGTAAACCTGCATTCGCTCCTTGAAAAGTCTGAACAATGAAACCCGTCCAACCCGCCGTCACCTTCGTCCCTTAATCCGCCAAGCACCCTCTTTCAACACCAACAGCCCCCATGGCTCTCACATCGCGGGCCACTTGCCTCGTTCCAAGCTCAAATTTGGACCCCGGTCCAAACAGAGACTGCGCCACGTACCCCAGAAAAAAACGTGTCGAAATGACATTCATGAGCTATGCAGCTATGATTCCCAATGTGTTTTCTCCAACATGCTTCCTGTTGACTGCTGCACGTCCCGCATAGACTGGCATTGCAAACAAGTATGGCGTTTTTGACAGGGCCGCTCCAAATGAAATGAGCTGTTCACGCCACCATACTTGGCCTGCGACACCAAGTAGTCCAGCAGCGTCTCTGAGCCTGCAAGGAGTTCGGCAGATTCAGCAACAAACCAATCAAGTTGACTGCGTTTGACTGCACTGTAGACCGCTGCGCGGTCAACGAGGTTGCCTTGCTCAAAGCGTGACATCTTATGATCAATCTGAAACAAACAAGCAAACGGCAAGAAGGCAAGCAAATATGCAAACAAACCAGCGATCGAGCAGACAAGCACACAATCAAACAAACAACAATGTAAAAAAGCAAGCAAGCAAGCAAGCAAACAGGCAGGCAGGCAGGCGGGCGGGCAGGCAAGCAAGCAAGCAAGCAAGCAAGCGAGCGAGCGAGCAAGCGAGCAAGCGCACTAGCACACAAGCAGGCAAGCGCACTAGCACACAAGCTGGCAAGCGCACTAGCACACAAGCAGGCAAGCACGCAAAGACGCAAAGCGCACAAGCGTGCAAGCGTGCAAGCAAGCAGGCAAGCAAGCAAGCAAGCAAACAAGCAAGCAAACAAGCAAACAACCAGTACGCAACCACTCAAGCAGACAAACAAGCAATAAAGCCAGTTCACCAGATCTCGAGCACTTAGGATTAAGACTGATGCGTTTGGGAGGCCGCACATGAGCCTTGGAAACTGGGAGACCAGCCTACCCCGCTCACTTCGGCCGCGCCTCGGCCCCGGAGCTTGGACAACTTCGGCAGCGTCTCCAGGTCGAAGCCCTCCGCCCGACCCCGCGCTGTGCCGCCATTCCTCGACATTTCCAGGGCGCAAGGCAGGGGTTTTTCCGGGGCCCAGCTGTCCTGCTAATTGCTCTGACTGACTTTTGCTTGTTTGTGCACTTTATCTGTTCTCCTGGTTTGTTTGCTAGCGCGCTTGTCTGCCTCTCTGCCTGTCTGCCTGCCTGCCTGCCTGCCTGCCTGCCTGCCTGCCTGCCTGCCTGCCTGTCTGTCTGTCTGTCTGTCTGTCTGTCTGTCTGTCTGTCTGTCTGTCTGTCTGTCTGTCTGTCTCTTTGTTTGCTTGCTTGCTTGCTGGATGGCTTGCGCGCAAGCAATTGTTTGTCGATCTATCTGTCTGATGGCTTTTTGTTTGTCCGCCTGTTCGTCCGTGCGTTTGTTTGCTTGGCTGCTTGCGTGCTTTTAGTCCGTCTCTGTCTGTCTGTCTGTCTGTCTGTCTGTCTGTCTGTCTGTCTGTCTGTCTGTCTGTCTCTGTCTGTCTGTCTGTCTGTCTGTCTGTCTGTCTGTCTGTCTGTCTGTCTGTTGGTCTGCTTGCTTGCTTGTTTGCCGTTCTATCTGTCTGTTTGTGGGTTTGCTTCCTCACTTGTTTGTCTGTCTGTGTGTCTGTGTGTCTGTGTGTTCGTGTGTCTGTGTGTCTGTCTGCCTGCCTACCTGCCTGCCTGCCTGCCTGTCTGGCTGTCTGTGTGTCTGTCTGTTCCATTCTGTTCGGTTGGTTGGTTGCCTGCTTGGTGCGCGCTTGCTTGTTTGATTGGTCGGTCGCTGCCTGTTTGTTTGTTCGGTAGTTTGTTTGATTGTTTAATTGCTTTTGTTTGCTTGTTTTTGCTGCTTTCTCCCTTGCTTGCGTGCTTCTGCCTTCTTGCCTGTCTGCCTGCCTGCCTGCCTGCCTGCCTGCCTGTCTGTCTGTCTGTCTGTCTGTCTGTCTGTCTGTCTGTCTCTTTGTTTGCTTGCTTGCTTGCTGGATGGCTTGACAGCCACGTGCCGGACCTGAGTCAGCGCGCATATGCGCTGCCTGCTGCAGCTGCAACCGGCACGTCTGCGCTGGATGGTGGAAGCAACGGCTATGACTTCATGGCGCTGCAGGCAAGAGAGCCGCCTGCTCCACCGCCTACGAAGTATGGCAGGTGCCCGCGGTGCCAGGACTGAGTTTCTGAAATGTTACTTGCTGGCTTTCGCTTCAGGCCTTCAGTGTTTGTGCAAGGTAGTCGGATCTGAAACCTTTGCCGCAGGCTCCCAGACGTCCTATAGCACATCAGAAGGGACCATCACGAGGAGAGGTGACATTGCGATGCTCGAATTGGTGGGAGTGGCAGGGCGCTTCTCGACAGTGCTGGCTGGCTTGCCGCTTCACAGGGGATGAGACAAGCTTACCAAAGCATGTCCGCGAAGATGTGGCTGAAATCCGCCGCACTCTTCAATACTGGCTGCATCGTCAGCAAGCAGCTTGATAGGGGGAAATGAGCGCGCTTTCTTGGCCTGCTTGCTAGCATGTGAGACATCACATCAATTCGCATATAGGAAGAAATCGTGTGGATTCGCCAGCAAAGCTTAGAAGTCACGCATGCCTTAGGCAGTTGGTTTGGCTCAGCAGATGTCACAGCATGGAGGAGACAAGGGAAGGGGAGACAAGGGATCAAAGCAGCTGACACAGCACGGACGTGGCCGGTTCTTTTTTTTTCTTCTGCGCCTTGGCCTGGCACAGAGGTGGCCGGTCCTTTTGTTTTTTTTTGCGCCTTGGCCTGGGGCGGGGGCGGGCGGTTTCTTTTTTTGGTTTTGCGCCTTGGCTTGGGACGGGGGTGGGCGGGCGGTCGTGTGTTTCGTGTTTGCGCCTTGGCTTGGGGCGGGGGTGGGCGGTCGTTTTTTTAGTTGGCGCCTTGGCCTGGAACGGGGCGGGCGGGCGGTCGTGTGTGTTTTTTGTGCGCCTTGGCCTTGGGTGTGGGGTCGGTCGTTTTTTTTTTTGCGCCTTGGCCTGGGACGGGGGTGGGCGGTCTTTTTTTTTTTTGCGCCTTGGCCTGGGACGGGGGCGGGCGGGCGGTCGTGTGTTCAGTGCTTGCCCCTTGGCTTGTTATTTTTTGTTGTCTTTTCGTGCCTTGGCCTCCGCTTGTCCCAGGAGGAGTTGCCAGTTGATGCGGACATGGTGGCAGCGCTGGCAAGTGAATTGACGCAAGCGTTCAGTAGTCCAATGGAGAAGGCCGCATGGTTCAGTGACTGTGGCGAAACTTTGCTCCAAGCTAGTTCTGCGACGCTGGCTCTGCGGAGGTTTGTGGGGCCAGAAGAGCCAACACATTACCTGGAAGTACTAGCGATTACGTCCCAAGTTTTGGAATTCGTTTCGTGTGATGGCATTGTGGAGATGTCTACTTGTGCTAGGACAATCGGTCCCGTCAGCATTCGCCAGCAGGTGCTGTTGGCGTGGGGACCGAGTTGGCGTGTCCGCGCTCAGCGCGCAGAGTGTGCGCTGGGTGAAGCTGTGCGCCTGCTGCACGTGCGAGCAGATTTTTGGCAACAGTTCCAGGGCTTGCGCTCTTTGTTTCGATCTTGGTGCTCTGTCGCCGAAGATGTGCACCTGCTGTTGGTTGGGCTCTTGAGTGAGCCGCGGGGATCAGGTCTTTGAGGTTCGCTGCAAAAGAGCTGGGCCGCGTGTGCACTGCCGGCACTTTTATCTCACGTGCTTTTTGCAGCCAAGTGTGATTGCCAAGTTGTGCTACCAATGCGATTGTTCCTAACATCTCGGCTCTGAGTTTTGATAGAACATGGCCCCCCAGGGGCCAAAGACGTGTTCTCTTTGTGGTGGCAGCCACACGATCAAATCATGCCAGCTGCCAGGGGCGGCGAAATTCAGGCAGGCGGTGGTGCAAGTGAAGAAAGGAGGCAAGCCTGAGAAGGGCCGCAAGTTGCGCGGCAGCAATCCTGCTGTTCAAGGACGCAAGCCGGGCAGGAAGCAGAAAACGAAGAAGCTTTCCCTCAAGCAGTACAAGACTCAGCAGAGGAAGTTGTACAGTGGAGACAAAGTGGACCACCAGCAGCGTGTGGACAGGCAAGGTGGCCAAGTCAATTTGGCTGACTTCATAGACCCCGATGTGGCCACGAAGGAGCTGCTTTGTCATGGCTTCACTCGCAAGCCTTGCTGCCCAGGGTGTGGCCATGATAGCTTGCAGGGCCCTTTCGAGAGTCCCGCCTTCGCCTTGATGGACCCATCGAGGTGGATGCCACCTCCGTCAGGACCTTCCGCATCGGGAAGAACTCCCACGCCTTTGCTCCAGAGATCCGGGACTGGGTGAGTGGCTTGCATGCATGTATTAATGTAAAGGACTTGTGCGTTTCAGAGTACGAATACGAGATAATCTCAAAGCATTTTTCACAATCTGTGTTTGTTTGTCCATTTCTGTTGGTTTTTCTTCTGTGGCGATTCTGAGGACGCAAGAAGAAAAGAACGCCCCAGTACTTTCTCACCCACTTCCGGTTGGCCGGCATGGTGCAGAGGGGCAACAAGGGCAAGCTCGTGGTGAAGAAGCTTCGCTTCGTTTTGCTACCACCAGGGGGAAGGCCAGCGCCTGAGTCGTTGCAGGATGTGAGAGATGCCGATTTTTTGCGGCGAGTCATAAAGCCCGCAGTGATTTTCGCAGATGGTGCCAAAAGCTGGCGCAGTGAAAGCAAGCGACTGGGCTTGACTTTTCGCTCTGTGTCCCATTATAAGATGGAATTCGTGCGTGGGACCACGGTCAAGAAAAAGCGAGCGATCTCAGGCACTCAGCTGCTAGACCAAGTCTGGCGTCAGATGAAAAGGTGCTTGCCCAGTTCCTTGGCCACGCGGGACGGAGAAACCCGCCGTGGGTCTAGCAGGCTCGCCACATACATTTACAGTTTTGTCTTCCGATGCAACAACCGGACTGCGTTGCGAGCTGCTGTGGCGAAGCTTGCAAGAGCTCGCAATGCGGCGCAGTGATATAGAAGCGGCCAACTTGAGGAGCACGGGGGGAGAAAAAGAGACGATCCAAACGCGCGTGTCGCGCAGTGAGCGCAGGTCAGGTCATAGTTACAGGGTGATTCGTGCTCCGTTTGCTGAAACCCTGGTAAAAATGGGACGAGATGAGCATGTTTCTAACGCTTGACAGACCAAACAAACGAAAAACGCAGGGTTTTCAGCACGCGGTGAGAAATGAACGTGTCCAATCGGCAGCGGGTCCCTATCAGCGCCGGTACCTTGTTTGTCCGCTTGTTTGTTCGCCTGGGCGCTGAGTGTGTCTGTCTCTGTCTCTCTGTCCGTCTGTCTGTCTCTGTCTGTCTCTGTCTGTCTGTCTGTCTGTCCCTGTTTGTTTGCTGGCTTGGTTTTGCGCTGGTTTGCTGGTTTGTTTGTCGATCTGTCTGCTTCTTTGTCTGTCTGTTTGATTGCTTGCTTGTGCGTGCGCTAGCCCGTCTCTCTGTCTCTTTGCTTGCTTGCTTTGCTTTGCTTTTCCTTGCCTTGTTTTGCTTTGTTTTGTTTCGCTTGCTTGCTTGCTTGCTTGCTTGTGTGCTGGTGCGTCAGTCTGTACATCTGCCTTGCTCTGTCTTCTCTTTTCTTAGTCGTGTCTGCTCTTGTGTTGCCTTGTGCTGTTTGGTGTTGTCTTTTCTGTCTGCCTGCTTGTGTGTTTGTGCGTTTGCTCGCTTGCTTGCCGTTGCTTGTTTGTGCAGTTGTCTGTCTGTCTTTCTGCCCGCACCTCTGCCTAGATCCAGAACGCTCCTGGTTGGCTGCAGGCTTACGAAGACTACAGATACTTTTTGTGCCAACCGCAAACGAATCGCTGCGATTCAGAGACACAAGCCCACACACACAAAGAAGCAAACAGACAAACGAACGCACAAACAAGCAAGCAACCAGCTCGCCGCGATTAACCTTGCTGCTAAAGACGACTCGGCAAAGCATGCAATCATGGCTATATGGCATTCAAAGTGTCTGCGAGACGCAGATACGTTCATGAACAAGTTGACTCACGCTGCTCTTGTCTGAGGCCTTTGACTGCTTGGAGGCCATGCGCCAAGCAAGAAACCGAAATGGCACCATCCCGGCCTTGCTCCGAAATGATATGCCCCAAACACCAAAATAGTACAGCGTGTCAATCAAGCAAGCGTACCACAACACCTCATGCGCCTGTTCCCAAGCATGGTGTTCCGACGAGCGTTAATTTGCTTTCCTTGTGTTAAGCGAATCTTGCGACGACAGTGAGCAACAGCAAGGTCTTCTAAAGCACTCCGGAAAAGTGACAAACATCTCATGAGAGAGCCAACAAGAAGGCAGAAGGGAACCCAAGGAGGAACCCAAGGAAAACCAAGAAAGCAGAAGGGAACGCAAAGAAAACCACACAAGGCAACCAATATGGAAAACCAACCAACAGGACCCCAAAAAAGAGCCAAGGAAAACAGCCATTTGCAGCACCCAACCTGGCTCTCGGAAACGCAATCTTCGCGGGAAAAACTTCGCGACCTCCATCGCGGAGCTTTCGCGGAGCTGCTTTCGCAACATTCAGTACAAGAATAGGACACGAAGATCAACCGCCAAGAATGCAGGGTACATGTCCCAGCCCTGGCTCGAAAGCCGACTTTCCAGTGCCAAAATAGTCTACGAGGTACACTTCTGCAGCCAACAGCTTGAAAGGCGTGACTTTTCAGTACGGGAAGCAATACACGAAGCAAAGTTCTGCAATGCCAGCTCGAAAGTCGCAACTCTTCAGTTCCAAAGCAGCACACGAAGTGCCAGCACATTTCCGCAGCCCCAGCCCGAAGACGTGAAGCAGCGCAGGAGGGGACCCGTTGGCTACCTATGTCCAGAGACTTGGAAGGATCTCCATCAACTTTCGATCTTGTGCCAAACATGGCCGAAAGTCCGAGTGGGAAGTTGTGCTCGACGCCCGAAAGCTTCAAAACTTTAACAATCCGCTTTCTGGGGTTGCTTTGCAATGATGTATTCTTGCGGCAATCCTCAGCCCGCCGACCAACTTTAGTCTGCGTGCATTCTGCGCGCACTGCCGCCAAATATGCATGGTTCATCAGTCCATCCTGTTTTGCATACCACCTGTACACATTTTTTTAGCCCAACAAATACAGTAACTTTCACAACTTTCATCGCGAAGCTAAGTGGAAGGCAACACTGACCAACAGTCTTCCCCTTCAGGTCTCAATACAAGGGCCTTTCAAATGCCTCCCACACGTGCATATTATATGCGCATCACTGACCCCAATATAACCTTAGTAACAAAACCAATGACAACCCTACAAACAGTCAAAACCATGCCCTCATCCCGGGTGTGTATTATTTTTGAGCACTCCCTTTTAGTTGGTTTTGCAGGGAAGCCAAAAAGAATATGGCAAGCATTTTGGTCGGGTCCATTTCCTCAGACAGCTTCCGTCTGGTCCACTGAAGAAGGAATCGGAGGCATTGGGGTCCATTAACTCTACATGGGTGTGTGAGTTTTTAGTGCAACCGGGGAATTCCTTTTGGCTTTCCATTTGGTTTCCCTTCAAAACCACAAAAAAACAGGACACACCAACCCAAAAAGAAGACGAGCCACCTCCAAATTTGGTTTACCCGGAACCCGCCTGAAGACGACGAAGCCCAAGACCCGTGCCGGATCCATCCGCCGCCCCCGAAACTCTTTTTTATTTGTTTCGCATCGCGAGCGATGCGAGGCGAGGGTTTCGAGGCGAGGCGCAGGTAGTTCCCGACGAAGAGCACCAGCGCCAAGAGCCGCTCCAACGCCTTGGAGCGCATCAAGATCTCCGCCCCGCGGCAGAGCTCCTGGAGCGACCCTGGAACCTCTCCCTTTGGGGGTGATGTCACTTCGCTCGTCCTTTTTGTTGTTGGGTTGGCCTTTATTGACTTGGTTTTCTTCTTCTTCTTTTCATTGTGTTTTTTTGTTTAGCTTAAAAATATTTGGCTGAAACTGGCTGCCTCGTTTCTTTGGCTGAAACTGCTTCGTTTGTCGGGTTTTGGGTTTGTGGGTGGTTCTGTTCGGTTTGCGGTTTTTGCCCCGTTCGGTTGCAGGAATAAGTTGGAGATGAAGCCGTCTCATGTTGCATCATACATGTGGACTTGGTGTGTCTCTGCACATGTATACACAGCAGGGTCCCTCTGCGTAATTATGCTTCTCATCTAGCCAAAACGGAAGATGGCGCCATCTCAACAACGAGAAGGGTCTTTGTCGGGCTGCCGGCCAAGAGAGATAGTGGATGATCCGGTTGTAGCGACACGCCAACATTCAAGTATGTGTTCACGGGGGGCAACAGCTGTAGATTTCTCTGACCCTCTTTCGCAGCGCTGTTTTGCCCTTTGCCCACATGGCCCATCATGCAGCCGCGTAGTCACTTGCCAAGTTCAATGTTCATGCGCTTCTCTGTCTGCGACTCCGCAAACACATGAGTACCATGCGCCACTGCTTGAGCAAACTGCTGGAGAATTTGGCTGGCTCCGGGCTGAGCAATCCGATTCAACAGGGCGACAGAGAAGGTAGAAGCAAAACAACGAATGATTTAATGGTGCTTCTCCTCAATATTATCTCTTTTTTATTATACGTTCGGTACCTTATCATGAATATCTTGTTTACTTCTGTTTTCCTGTTGTTCTGTCCAACATTCACATCTATCTTGTTCCTCTTTCCTCTCTTCTCACATCCCATTCACGGTGTAATCACTAATGAAAGTATTGTTTAAAGCTTTTCCGTTTGTAATAGCATCTCCCGTCCAGGAGTTTGTGCTAAACTGGAGATGTCTCACAGTTGGGGCCGTGTTGCCAGGAATGGTGTTAAAGGGACAAGGAAACCACTCTCTTTGATTGAAGGCCGTTGCTTTTGGACGCAGCTATCACAAAACCATGGAGGAATGCGCTTTCTGGCTGGACATGGACGCCACAAGTTCCTCTAGCTCTCCCAACCTCTCAGAACGTGGCCGGGGCCCGGAATGCGTAAGGCATATTGCAGCCGGCTGACCAAGGCTAATGGGCCACGTTCTCCACAAACGCAAAGGCTGCAGCTTGAGCTGCCGTGATCTTAGACATGACACTCAAATCCCCTCACATCCCTGACAACACCAACGAGTGACAAAGATCCACCCCACCCCACCCGAAAACACTCAAGATAGAGGACTTTCCCACCTTGGAGAACTCAGGAAAACCCCCCGCCCCCCCATTGAAAGACTCCTGTCATTACCTGTCAGCGTTCGTAGCAATTCCCGGAGTTCAGAAACTCAAAAACCATACAAAGCCAATTAAGCCAATCTCTTAGTAGGCCACAGCGCAAATCTCTCCCTAAGCTTTGGCCTTGTGCTTTGGGAATGGTTGGGGAGCATGCTAGTGGTGGCAGGCTAGTTATTGCCCCCAAACACCATGGCCGTATCTCTGCGAATTGGACACCCTGGTGCCCAATCACAGCAATTCAAAAGGTTCCCGTGGTCCAGGCCTTTCTAAATCCCCGCGGCAGAGCTCGGACAATCTTCACCTGCAGTTATGTTCCAATGCGTGGGCTTCCTATAGAAAATTCAATAATGCTCACCTGGGGTTGTGTTCCGTGGGATTCCTTGAGAACATAAGTTCTAGAGAAAACCCTTCTCATGCAAGCTGGGCCACGAGGTTTCCCCTCCCGCAGATTCAATTCGGCTCCTGGTGGGCCAGCATGAGCCGGGCATGCGCGAAGTCCACCGAGTTCAAGAAGCCCCACATCTTCACCTCGGACCGACGCAAGCTCCAGAGACCAAATGGGCACATAGCCCTCGTGCCAGGGAAACCAAGAGGCAAACTGTTTGTTCTCGTGGGTTCACCTCGCTCGGAGCAAACGTGACCCTCTTGAGGTTTGATAAAGGCTTGAGCTCTGTATTTCTCATGTGAGTTGAGGGTGTTAGATGGCAAGCCGCTTTTGGGAAGTTCATCTCGTCCGACCAAAACGCGCCAGGCACATCTTCCCGGGGGCTAAGAGGCCAACAGCTGGGCATCGGGTTGACCGGCTTGGCATTAGATCCGGACGGAAGCAATGCCACTTAGGCCTCGGAAAGATTTGTCATAATATTAATTTGTTATAGCTTCTTTATCTGGGTGCGGCTCAAAATTAAAGAATCAGGGTTACGCAGGTTTGGTCTTTGGTTCCATTTACAAAGGTGCCATTTTGGTACATTTTTTTGAGCCACAGCCATCTGCCAATTGGTTTTAACTGTAGGTTGCACGTGTCAGCTGCTTTCCTACGCCAAACTCGCCAGCAACCCACAAGGGTGAAGAGCAGATGTCCCTGGGCAGCATCCTGTGCCCCGAACTCTAAGAACTGGCAAAGTCAGCTGGTCCAGATTCCACTCCGGGAATCGAATCGGCTATTGACCTTCAAACCACTGGTGGAGATGCTACGCACCTTTTAGTCCTGCTTGCCTTGTGCTTCCCTTGGACGAAGGTCCATCGTTTCAACCGCCACCGCCCAGACTTTGAAACAACACTACACACACACACGCACACACACACACACATCTAAGCTTTAGTGCCGATTTGCCTGGCCCGATGGCTCCTCACTTTGCACGAGGAACCGCTGCAGAACATCTCCCCTTAGCCAAGTCTCGTCGTACTTCAGCTGTGGATGATACCCTTCAAAGACAAGAACACGAACCTCAAGTGTTCGCCACATAATACTTAGGCAACTAGCCGAAAACACAACAAGCAATGTCGTGTTAAACACGAAAGACTACGTCTACCATGACACACCCAACACTTGCAGTAAGTTGACCTTATTGTTTCACAACGGAAACTGTCTCTTTTGACGCAGAACATCCTGCCAGCCGACGCCTAGGAATTAGCAACAATCCTTCTCGGAGACAAAACTCTAGGACGGCGCATAATGTGAAGCTAAGCAAAAACCCAGATCTAACTGGTGCTGACTGTTGTAATCCAAGGAAAATTGGCTATTGGCAGTTGGGTCCGCGAATCCAACATGATGAGCCAAGTCTACGCCCATCATTGCTAAACCCGAACTAGAGCGTCCCTTGGTCTTTTGTTGAACATTTCGAGAGCCTCCCATGCCCCTATCCAGTGGAGCACAGACTGGACATTTTGGTGGAACCTTAACTAGCTCCGGTCTGCGCACTCGCCTCCCGCTCTGGCCCCCACCCTCAGCTCATAGTGTGGAATGGAAGAGATCGCTAGCACCTCTCAGCGCCGGTGATCCGATTGGCGCCATGTACCGGAATGAGGGAATGAACCCAGAGGTCCCCTGAAAGGAAACCACAAGGGATGTTTGATAAGGGTCATTCCCACATTGCCTGCTGAGCACCAGCAAGAAAATTTGAAACTCCTTCTGCTCTGCGAGGTATATGATCCAAACCCAAAACCAGCCGAACACGCCTAAACCAACCCCAACCCCACCCCCAAACTTGCCCCCTACGCCACCCTAAACCCAGCCTAAACCAAAGCCAACTGATAATGCTGAGGATTTTAAAACGATACAAGGGTGGCATGTTGCTTGAACATGCTGCAGAATACCAACAGGCCGATCACACAATTTGTCTTGGGCTAGATCACCGCTACGACTACGTGTGGGGCACGCTATCTTAAGGGCAACACTGTGGATTTGAACAACCTAGGTCAGCGAGCATCAGTGTTCATATCATCATTTGGGAAGGCATCTTTAAATTCAGAATACGACAGGTCTGTTCGGTGTTGGTCAGTCCATTCAGAGACTCAATCAAGATGCTAGTTGTATGTGGCTGTAGGCTTGGTTGGTTGGGCTGCGCTTTGGGTACCGTGTACCACAAAGCCGAACAACAGTCCGTATAATGAAGCGGGGTGGGGGGGGGGAGGGTGGGGTTGGGGGGTTGGGGGGGGTTGGGGGGGTTGGGCGGGTTGGGCGGGTGGGGGGGTTGGGGGGGTGGGGGAGGCGCAGCTCCCTATTGAAAACACAAGAAGACACTAATGCAGAAAATGCATGATTGCAAACCAGGTGCTCACGGGGGGGGGAGCGGGGGGGGGGAGACCCCCCCCAAAAAAGACAACAAATCAGGACACAAAGGAGACAGTTCTCAATTACAAACGCCAAGAAGTTGAGAAGTCAAAAAGCCAAGAGGCCAAAAAGACAAGCAGCCAAAACGACCGGAACCTGGGAGCCAAGAAGCCACCACCAAACCAAAATCCCAAAATTCCAAAAAGCCCAAGAGCTGGGGGTGTTGCAGGTGATGCTGAGTCACACAAGCAAAAAAGCCAGCCCGAAGAAAAACAAGCCAACATCCCGAAAAAGAAACAACCTTAAAAAATGGCAATCCGAAGAATGAAAGCAGGAAGTGCTCCCCGAGTTAGCAATCGCACGCGATGCTGCCTGCCAGGTGCAAACGTTCGCTGGGAGCCACTGAGCCTTGCACAAAGTCCTCCGGCGCATCCCATTCCTCGCCTCACAAACAGCCAGGTACAGCCAAGTCAGAAATGACCTGCATGGTACGACCAAGAGAGCTATAGCAATGTTTGCTTCAAGTGGAGCTTTAGGTATGCTTCAAAACATTTTGTAGGAGCGCCACGCAACGTCGGCCATCGACCATGGGTCGTTTCAAATATCTGCCTGCTGTTCTTTTGTCGCCGGACACTAGCTCGTCGAACATCGCGTGAATCAGTTTCTGATTCAGAAGATGCAAAGATGCAATTCCAGACCAGGCTCCCAACGAAACGAGCCACATCTCATCTTATAGGTTCTGCTATGCAAGTACTTGAGTTGGCATGCCCTTGACGCTCCCCAGCCTTCTGCCAAGGGCGTGCTGTTTACGGAGTCGTTGATCAACTGCACATCTGCGGCCGTGGGCAAGTTCATCTGCAGAAGCTCCACCTAACCATGGCTGACCATCTGTGGAACATTTGGGGATCCTCATGTCCTTAAAACCTAAGTCCGAAACTAAAAGAGCTGGTATCCATCCTGATTGTGATCTTTCGATCATCACGGGATGTGGGCTCCTTTGACTTTGATCAGACTGGCATGCGAAAATGTCTGCTCTAGAAACGATTGCTACACGCACGCATGAGAGCTTCCGTTCGGATCGTGTGTGAAGCGCCATAGTGTGGCATTGAATGTCCGCACCAGTTGAAGTTTGCAGAGAGCCCTTTGTCGAACTTTGACACCCAACGAATACGCTTGCACACCAATTGACAGGCAATGTACAAAGCCGCTCTTATATAATTATCTCACCGAGTCTGTCAGCATACATGAGCCTACCAAGAAATTAACATCAAATCAATAGTAACCGCATACATATCTATCTAAATCCAGTGAGGCCAAAGCTGCAGGATGTGCACTGCGAGGCAAAGGAAATGATGGCGGAAGTGGCGAGTTGACACTGACGACGAGTTGCGAGATGAATGACTTGAAATGAGCCATAGACAAAAATTACTTGCTCCAGGCACACTGAGTGGCCCCCTGATGTCTAATGGGGAATTTTGGTCGGCCCATGCCCGCCCCGAGCAAACCATAGATAAACTACCAGAAACGTCGTAATTTTCTGAAATCCTTTCCGCCCTATGAATAAAATGCACCAACTGAGTGACATTTCGTAGCGATGTGGCCATGGTTCAGGATCTCATGGACGCACCGTGGGCACATGTTGCTTGCTTGTACCCGTTCTGAGAGGTTTGATTGAAGCGCCAGATTCCCATAGGTGGCCTTTTGGAAAAATAGATGGCCCTGGTAGACCCATGTAAACCAGTGCCATCTATTTTAACCAGGCACACCTAACTAAAAGGACACCTATGCTGATTCCAATGAGCAAGTAGTTGTCTGACATGGTGTGCGATGATGCCATCATCACTAGACATGAGCCCGATTCACAAAGCCCAGGTCGAAAGCCCAAACGCGAACATGGGCACACCTCCTTCGTGGCATCCCATGAAGCTGCCACCATTCCGGCCATTTTTACCAGATATACCCCTAAACGACCAAACACCTGTTCCCCGTGTCCTCTTATTCACCGGTCTTTGCACCTTTTCCCCACCTTTTCGGTGCCCCGTTTTGTCAGCGGGGCTACGAGCGGGTCTGCCCCCGCCTTCTCGGGCAGGAGGATGGCATCCGACATGCCCTCGACGGCCTCCAGCAGCTGCGACCGCTCCGGCATCAGCGCCTGAGATCCGGATGGCTGACGGGGCGCAAAATGGGAAAGACAGCCGCTTCCGTCCCGCAACGGCATCTCCCAGATTCTTTGGGGAACATCTCGAAGCTATGGATTGCCCTGCTAAAAAAAAACAAAAACGGCCATTGACCCATGGCGCTAGGCACTTGCGGCCAAGCGTCCAGCATGAACCAAATCTCCCTTCGTCGCTTCTCGTCAAACACTCGCCGGTGTTTCCTCGGAATGGCAGGCAATGCATGCTGCCAGCGGTTCACATTGGTTACTGTTGTTTCTTGACCGTGAAGGAGGCGGTGTAGAACAAGATCTATAGCAGCTCCGTGACAAAAGGCACAGCAACATGGCTGCTTCACGAAATAGAATCCACTTAGAATGCAATCTGATGATGAACGGAACAGGTCTTTCGCTCTTGAGGTTTCTCCACGCCCAGTCGGCAACTTCCTGCTGCCGCTTGAAAGGCAGAATTCGGCCGCCACAACTTTCAAACCGTGAACCATTTTCTATGGTCCTTTCAACGTTCTGCAAAAAAGGCTGACACCCAGATTGAACCTGACATTTGTTGCCGCGGTTCTGTACAAGCTCTGAGGTGTGTGTGTGTGTGTGTGCGGGCTCAGCCTGTGGAGTCTTGTTAAAACAGCCCCCGAGAAGCCACGTTCTGCAAGCGCTCGTGCAGCAGTCAGCTGTTAACCAGAGCTCCACGCTGCTTTGACAACCTTCACTACAGTTTGACCGGTTTTTTGAGAAAATACAAGATCCTCTAAGCGTAGAACCCGGTTCAAGGGTATCCGTTCATTTCTTAAAGGGGAAGCGAAAAATGTACCTTGTACGTGTCGGAACCAGGAAACCCTCCTGAATGATGCGCTCAGTGCATGTTTACATTGCCTCAAAAGGGGGCGATGGCTTAAAAAGATGCAGGTGTCTAGATGACCATGATCATTCTAGTAGCTTTGTTTAGACCTGGTCCCCAAATGCTGGGCCGCTTGAGGAAGGCTTTGCGAGTCACCTTGAAAGCCCTGCTTCATGAATTCGGTCTTTTCAACAGATCAGGCAAATCTCAATCTCAATTGGCAGCTTCGGCATTTGAGCCCCTGCCTGTCAAAACGAAATGGGAAGACGCCAAACCACAACAAGACAAAATGGGTCCCTCGGACAAATAGGCTGCACTGGGAAATGATTGGCACTGAACTAAACCCAGTGGCTTGGAACCTATGCTTCCGGTAGCATGAGACCTGGCTGAAGGTGCCACGACAAGCTTCCTCTCGGGGCCTTCTGGATTTCGTGACACAGGTTCAAAGGGACGCCATCCAGTCTTCTGTCAAAGCCCTTGATTCCATGGGGAGGGCTCAAAGGGAAGTGGAAGGCAGGATAAGGGTTTCCTTGCTCCGAGGTTCTGCTGAACAGCCGGGCGCTTCACCGGAGACACGCTGCCGGTAGAAAAGACCTCGGCACTGTCCGAAAGTCACATTGTGACATGGCTTCGGGGGCGAGCGAAGAGCGATCCCGAAGCGATCCCACAAAAAACAGTTCCCGCGTGAACTCAATGCCCTCTTACCACAAGTTTGAGAGGTGGTCAAACACACACTGTGCTGTTGCCCCAGTGGCAAAAAAACAGAGTGAACAGCAAAATTGAGAAGGAAGCGTGGTGGGTCCCAGTAGGACATTTCCTCGGTTTTGGGAATGAACCGTTTCGGATCCCCTTTGAAGGAAGCTACAAGGGATGGCATATATTTGGGGTCATCCCCAATGTTCCCAAATAAACGGGCGTTATGTTAGTGTTTGCAGCCCCCTCGCCCACTATTTGGAGCTGTATCGTGTTTTTTCTCCTTCCCCCTTTCCTCTCGACCCAAACACGTCCAAAGAAAAAACACTCAACCCAAAAAAACACAAGAAACACACCAAACAAACAAAGCAAACCAAAAAACAACAAGAAACCCCACCCGCCCCGCCCCTTCTTTCCGCCCCTTCTTTCCGCCTCCGAGAAGTTGGCCTCGAGCTCGTCCACGTCGAAGTCCGCGCCGGACTGGTGGATTTTGGCCCACACCTATAGCGCCGGCCATTTCTTTTGTGGAGTTTTTTTTTTTTTTTACGGGTGAGTCTAAGGTGGGCATGTCAAACGTTTTCTTTGTTTTAGTTTGTTTGTGGGCGTGGCTAAGGTGATCCAGGTCTTGGTCTTTGGTTCCATTGGCCTTTTGGTGCCATTTTGGTACATTTGAGCCAAAGCCTCTTAGGAAAACGGGGGCTTGAGCCCCCCTGGAAAGTGGGTGGTTTCCTCGAAGAGACAATCTTCGGACCCCTCAGCTTTCATAATTGGCTGCGCTCGACAGGGGTGCCATCAGGTTTGCGGGACCGGTTTGGCAGCCAAGAGGCAACCAGCCTGCACTTGTGGGTACATTGCTTGATGGAAAAAGTTAAAGCAACATGAAGGAGAAAGGAGTTCTCCCCCATTTTTGTCTTTGTGTTTTTTCCCTATTCTTATTATTACTATTTTTTGGTAAGACCGTCGCTTGACTGGACCCGTTCGCCACTTAGCCTTCACCCATTGAAGCTTCTCAACATTTACCTTCGCCTTCCGTTTTGTTGTTTAAAGATTCGAAGAAATCAACGAGGCGACGCCGCTGCTTCCTTGATGCCGAGGCACGCTCTGAGAGGCGTCTCCCTTCAGAGGGCTCCTCAGTCGCTTTGGATGGGCGGTGATGGATGTTGGTTGGACGCCCTTGCTTGCTTCCATTGGTTGGATTGGATTTTGTGGGACTTTTTGGTTGGATGTTGGATTTCGGTTGGATTTTTCAAAAGGATTTTCGTTGGATTCTGTTGGCTTCCTTTTGACACGCCCAAAACTGTTCAAAAGAGCTTTGGATGGGGTTGGCGATACTTGGATTTTTGTATGCCGTTCCAACTACTCATGTTCGCTTGCTTTTGACACATCCAAGTCAATTACCGGAGTGAAACTGTAACCACCTCCAAGCACTTGGCAGTCATGCGGCCCATGTCAGAAGCTTCCCAACAGGCCTTGGTGGTCAATTATGTTGGCACCATCTCCCGATTCGACTGCCGAAGGATATTCAAGGAGACCCCGTCAGCCCAATCCGCCCACACCCAGCTCAATCTAGAATCACTTCACTCGGAACAAACCATGGCTGCTGATGTTCAGGTCATATGTGCCTCTACCATCTACACTGTTTCGTTGCCAGTTGAAATGCAAATCAAACGCCCCTGAGCACAAAACATACGTCGGCCTACTGACTCCTCTGGTAGTGTGTTCTAAGTGGATGAGTCGAGGCTGGGTGACAAAATGAGCAATGACTGTGGTGGACAGCTCAGCCCAGCTTCGCTCATGCTCATCACTCAAACCAAACCTCAATCAGCCTTGGCACTGGAGAAGCATCCAAGCTAACACCGGGGAGCTTACGGATACTTACTTGCGGCCACACCATCTGCGCAACCAACTGCAACCCAGATCCCTCAATGAGCAACCGGACGCTTGTGTGGAATGGGGCATCCCGTGCTTCCAACCTGAAATACGGGACCCCAAGAAACCCGACCCCCCAAGAAAGGAACCTGCATTTGCGAGGCGCAACTCAAAACCCATACGGTCACTACAAGTTGCCCAGTTCGGCGGTGCCTTTTATTCGAGCGCCCACACTGGCTTGGCCACTCTAGGCGAACCTGGATTCGTGGTGCGAAGCCGGCTGGTTTCAAAAGGAGCAACGAAAAGAATGGAGAGTCACCCCTCGCATGGGTTTTGCGCTCTGCCACCCGAGCATCCAGAAGAGCTTCTTCATGGCGGTGCGTGGCTGCACCTGGCAACAGGGCAACAGGGCTCGCCTTTTTGTCCAAGCCGAACATGTACCCTCCCACCAACAAACATGGAAGTGGACAGAGGGCTTCCCCAAGAGGAAAGTAGTCTTCCAACCCCCTCCATGATAGTCTGAGGGAGTGTAACCCGCCAGAGAAATGGGGCCCTTTCAGAGGAAACGGGTCCATACCAGGCCCGCGTCAGGGCAGGAGGGCACTCTGCTGGGCTTGTGCAGTGAAAGCGCACGGACAAGCACCCATGTCGGGGGCCCTTTGTTGAGACACGCCCAAATCAGAAATATGACTCTGCTTGGGGGAGATAGTGACAAAGTTTACCCTTGTGATGTGCATCTTTGGGGGAACCCAGCGGAGGGGTTGAGTCATCCCTGGATTAGCCCAAATATAAGCCCGCCTATGATAAAACGCTTTTGATAGCCGTAACTTGATGGGTTTCTGGGGCCACTGGGCATCCCCCTTCATTGACCGGTCTAGGTTTACAAGTATAAATTGCTACTGAGGAACCTATGGCTGGGCAAACATCGCACAGTGATCTCAATCTGCTTCTGTTGCGAGCGTTCCATGCTTAACCCTGTTGTATCTGCCCTGAGCTTGACTTGTTTGATATCCGGGCTACAGTTTGATGCCACTGCCTAAGCAAACATGACAAATATTGATCCAGGCCTCGATTGGTTGGATTCCAGTCAAGATACCTGCATGAAAAAGGCCGTCTTACCATCGACATGGGATTGTTTGGAGAACAACACACACTCATCATCATCCTCTCGCATTCTCTCCGTATTCCGCTAATTACAGCTGTCACGTTCCAGTAAGTACAGATTGTTACTTGCTGTCATCCAGCTAATGCCCTGTTTGCAGTGTGGCAAACCATGATTTGTGGCTAATGTCCGCGCACCATGATAAGAAGCGACACATATCCTCTAAACATCTCCATTAAGCTTGCATCTTGTTGATCCGTTGAGCTGCCACTGTACTAGCGGGCGCACCTTAAGGATACGTTGTGGGATGTACCCTTTCAAAATCCGGTGCGCGCCCTGCGTCAAAGCACATGTTTCTGGTTGATGTCGTTGGCTCGCGACACCGAATCACACTAACCACACTGAGTGCCATGCCAAAACAAATACGTTAGAAAAGGGGTACAACGCTGAGCGGTTGTGAAGTGACCTATGCACAAGCCTCCCCTGTCAGACCCACGCACCTCTGGCATGCAGCTTTGCGTCTCGCCCTTGCCCTTGCTCTTGCCTGAACGACTCGTCAGCCCGGACCGAGGCTCCACACAGATCCCACTTGATGCTCGATCGCTGGAAGAATGGGCGGCTGGTACTGCGCTAAAGGAATGTTAACAAGCCCCGGGAACTTCATGCAAAGGCTACAGTGGCAAGTAGGATTGTTGTGATGAAACCTCGCAGCAGAAAGAGACAATAGAGGCTGTTCTGAGGATTTGCCCATGAAGCAACCCGATGCTACAACTGCATTAAGTCAAAGCAAATGGCTCGCGGTTTCTGCCCGCCTTTTGCCAGCCCTGCTGGCGGCGCCTTGCCTTTGGGCCCTTTGGCCTTGCCCTTTCCTTTTGCCTGACGCATATCGCGACGTGAGCAAACCATGTTGGCGGCGTTCGAGAGGTGCCAGGAATCGACTGGCAGCACTTGCTGCGACAGAAAAAATGTTCTTCCGCCGCTGTGACTGGAAAAATGTTCTTCTCCATCTCAGCATCTCTGCCCTACCGAACATCAGGAAACAAAAAACGGATGAGAAGAGGCAGGGACAACAAATGAAATTGGGAGGACTCTCCCAGAAGCTAGTTATCTGCACCATCACCCAGGAAGGACTAGCAAAAAACAAACTCCTGCGTAGGGCCATGGCTTCGGGGATTGTGGACGAGCCGAACTTGAACACTAAACAACCTAATCATCTGTTTTGCTGCCATGCATCTAGTTGCAAGACGTCTGCAACTAAGCACGATGCCTTGGCCCTTGGGTTAGTCTCACACCATCCTTTGTTGGGCAGCGCGTAGAGTATTTCTGCTTTGAACACCGCCACCATGAACATCGGTGTGACTACTTCGCTCGTGAATGGCTTCATTGGATCGAAACAGCCATGGTTGTCTAGGTCGTCCAACTCTGCGTTTATCGATATGAATGCCCAGCCAACTTTGCCCGACTCCCCTCCAATTCTTGTGTGAAAGGTTTAATAACTTGTCTGGTTGATTGGGAAATGCCTCCTTGGGAGGCGAGTTCACAGACCCTTGAATGTGTGTTGCGCCTGTTTATATTGTGTAGTTGGCAACTTTAAAATTCGTCGTAGACCCCGCAAAATGGAAAGCATCCACTCTTGCGCGTAAGGACTGCGTCAAATGGATTCTTTCAAGGCTGTCCAACAATTTAGTTTTGATCACCGCATCATACATGAGAAGCTGTGATGTCATATGTGTGGTGGGATCCTTCCACAAAAGGGACATTCTATTCAATGCATGTTTTGTATCTTGAATGCGTTGTTGTTTCCCAAGCAATGTTCAAGGGGGTGCTATCATGAAATTGTATGTTAGCAACATGATTCATGGCGATGGCATGGCACTTGGCCCTCTTGATTCGTAAGACATTGTGCGCAGAACAGCAAGGAGTTTGTTAAGACCTAGTGGAGTTGCGGAGGACAACATCGTCTGGTCAGCATAGCAGACTGTGTCGAAGTGAACCCCAAGAATCCGTGAACCAACCACCGAGATTTGACATCAGCAACACTGGTCATCATGAAGCCAATTCTAAAAACCCTAAAAACCATTAACACCCACAGTACACCCCCTCTAAACCTTGAAAATCCCTAAACCAACCCTGATAAACACCCAGCTTGCCCTAAGCCGCCTAAACCTGAAAGCTGAAACTCCGAAACCCTAAACTTCTGGCAGAAGTCCTCACTGCAGACCTGGGGTTGGGGCGGATCACATTGGGGGAAACTCAGCGCACTCCTTTGCACAGCATCACATCAACATGTCGCCTCTGTCCAGACAAGGAAGCACAAATCCCTGAATGGCGCCATGTGCTGTCAATCGAGGACGAGGCTTGCGAGTTGCTTGGCCGGTCATTGTGAGTGAGAACAAATTGAACAAAAAGGGCCCGCCACCGCATCGCTGTGCTCGTCCTTGATCAGGTAGTAAAATTGATTCTAGAGACTATGAATGCGAGCACTGAATCGCCTTCTTGTCCTCCTTGTTCTTGTCTTCGTCCTCTTTGTCTTTCTGCCGCTCTTCCTCCTTGTCCTTCTGATCCTTGTCGTTTGCCTGCGCCTTGCCCTTCTCTGTGTTCACCTCTTTGGCCTTCTCACAGAGTATAGCCTTCTCCTTTTCCTCGCGACTCACGTAAGCAAAGCAAAAGCCGAACAGCTATCCCCCAAAAGAAGCACATGTCAGCAAGAAGACGGTGCAGGTTTTCTCACGCACTACTGGGCAAGTTCTGCGAAACTGAACAAGGGCATGCTACGAACTTAAGATGGAAACCTTGAACACTCGGTTGGACATCACATGTCTTGACTAACCATCGGCAACAGGATGGTCAATGAGCATAGCGCATATCGGGGCAAGCGACCTCCCAAACGTGGTGCTGGAAATGCCACATGCCCGTGATAATGGTACATGATACTTGGGATTCGCGAAAGCTTCAGTTGAACCAGCACATTGATACCGACAGGTGTACCTTCTTTATCGCGTCGGATCAGAACCTTGAAGGAGGAACTGCAACCTTCACAAAGCGAACGTACTCGCGACACACGCTGTGCAGCCAGGTCGCTCACAGAACACAATCATTGGCAATCCGAGCAGACGAGCTGTAAGGAACTTTTGGCCGGATGATGGCACTGTTTTTTGCGGATGCTGATTCAAGCGGCACACGCAAAAGGAACCAACATCCCGCCGACATTGTGGGGCATAGGGGTTGGGCCCAATTTCATTTATCCTGCCTTCCTTACAATGACAATTCAAGCTACATGAATGGCAATCTCCAAGGGTCGCTTCAGGTCGCTTCCCTCCGCTCGCAACTGCATTTTGTAAGAAATTGACTCCTCCACAAAACTGGAGACTTTCCAAGGACGGAGCTTTCGCGAAGCTAATCTTGAGGTTATGTTCGCGACATTCAGCACCAAAAGCAGTACACGAAGTACGCTTCCGTAGCCCGAGCCTGAAAGCCATGGACACCATGTCCGGAAGCTGGCTGCGGGGTCCGTAACTCCCGCGGACCTTCGCCAAACGTAACAAGCTTCTTTCTGCACGGGTTTGCTTTTGCAGTGACGCAGTCTTGCGGCAATCCTCAGGCTGTGCTTGCCTCCAACCAGCTTTAGTCTGTGCGCATTTTGGCGCACTGCCCGCCAGTACACATGGTTCATTCGTCCTTTTGCTAAACCACCCTTACACAGCTTTCGTAAAACAAACTTGCGTAAGGTCCACTACGAATCTTTCGTGAAGGGTAACGTAGCAAAACCTATTGGCCTTCGCCTTCATGTCTCACTGGCAAGGAGCTTTCGGACGACTCCTATATATAGGTTTGTCTCCAAGTAGGCGGACCACAAAACCAACTCTAAAACTAGACCACCCCGCCCAATGGCTGTCAAATTGCAGCTGCTGGGGTTCCTTCAAGGGAAATGCCAAAACCAGCAGCGATTTACACCTGGCCCCAACTTGCCACCAACGCCAACTAGCGACTCGACCCGAGAACCGCTCCGAAGGCTCCTCCCGGAGCCGCTGCAGCTCGAGCTCAGTGGTGTGCCTCTCCTGAGCGACTGGAACCTTTGTCCTGGGTCAAAAATGCGGTAAACCCAAAATGGGTTGCCCTGGTAAATGGAAATGTGGACTAAAATCTGCGGTCGAATTCCTGGTTGGCTAATTGTGACCCACGGCCACCCTCGTGTTGGTGGATTTAAAAGCGAAGCCCTACGCAAAGAGGAGGGCACTGGAGGTCTGGGTTCTCCTACACCCACAAGGAAGATGCTCTTTTCTGAGATTCTGCCAAATGCCCTGAGGTTTGGCAAATATATGTTGCGATTTTAGGGATTTGATGATCACTGATTCTAATGGGTGAATGCTGCTTTGATGAATTGAAGTCTTGGCTTGGTGAGAGAGGGGACCTTGCCCCATCGATCGCTTGCAGTGCTTGTCAGGCAAACAACCATTGCTAGAAAAACAAAGAGTAGCCTAAGTCAAAAGCATCCAAACACATCCAGTTCTGATTTCTGGGGGCTAGTGGGCAAAAAGCCTATAGAGAGTCTGTACGGCTTCTCAGGGCCTTTGTTTCAGAAGCAATGACCAACCTCTGCCAAAAACACTTTGCTCGAATTCGTCCTGCGTGAGCTTCTGGTTCTTGGTCTCCAATTCCTGTGGAGAGAAGCCGGATAAGAACCTACCGGGTGCCACGACGGGCAACCAAAACGACTCAGTCTATCTAGATGACAAAAATCCTCGAGACCCGGGCAATATCCTCAAAACAAACATAGTAAATAATTGTATCACCAGTGACTTGGGTACTGGTTATCATGGTTTGCCAGCCTCAAACCGCACACCTGAGACTTTGTGTCGTGATTGGAGTCTAAAATGGTGTTTGCAAGCTTTAAAGTAGCTTCTGAAAAAGCTCGTTCTGTTACGTTGCTGCCGCGTGTAGTCATTCCAACTCAAAATGCGGCCACACCGATCTGTATCCAAAGATCTCGTGGTCTCGTTCACCCGGATGGCCTGCCCTTGCGATAAGTCCGTCAGCTTGAGAGGTACTGGCAACCCGTTCTGAAAGGCCCGTGAATAGCGGAGGATGATGGATCGACTAGCCATTTGCCAACACTTTGCCAGGAGCCATAAACTCGAAGCTGAATTCCAAAAGCCGAACCAAAAGACCTGAAACTGGGTACCCTATTTCTTAAGGTTGGAAGCTTAAGCTTTGTTGCTATACACTCTTGAACGCAACCAACCGCCCAAACCAAGACTGCCTCCTTCCATTTCTTCTTGTCTGCTGTTCTGCACAAGTATTGTTGGCCCCCACCCCAGCTGCTGCTGCAGGCATGCTCATCTACCTTTCAAGCCACGGGCACAACTCCTGCAATGGTACTAGTCTGACTTGGTTGCCATTCTTTTGGGCTCCTTCGAAGCAGCCTCACTGTGCCACAGTTGCCCAAAACACCGCTGCTAAGTTGACTCAATGGTGGTTACACGTCTCACATTTTGGTGTACACAAACAGTCAGTCATCTCATCATGAACTTCAAACGGGTATGTCTCCAACTACGGAACCCCCGCTTTTGTGCAGTAGAGGAGAACACCAAGAGGAAACCAACCACGAGGGGATGACCTCGAATCTTTAGATACACCCAACCCCCAAGCACACATGTCTTGACGGGGCACCCCACATTGTTCCTTTTGCTGGCTTGATGCTTCAGACGACACACGGAATGCTTCAAACGGACACATCGGGAACCCCTATTAAACGTTGTGGTTGCCACCCTTAGCTACGTGATGTGCACAAGAAACAATATGGGGGTCTCTCTAAATTTACACATGGATTTTTTTCAAAATTGGGACCCCCTTTTTTGCTGAATTTAGAGGGACACCAACAGGAACCCCGCCACTTGGAGGGGTCCGTCCCACGCGGCGAGGCCAAGCCTGCAGCCTCCTCGCGAAGTCGCCGTCTCCCGGGGTGCTGGCCTGGACTCGAAGGCTGAACCGAGTGATAGTTGGGGGGGGACTTTTGTTTGGTGGCGTGCGGGTTGGTTTACATTATCCACCAATATGGTGGCGTGCTGGTTGGTTTACTTTTTGTCAACCTCAACTTATTACCCCCAAAAGGCGAGCAATATTCCAGTCGCCATGCTGACCGGTTGCAGAACAAGTTTGGCAAAGGTGTCTCAAAGACAAACGCAATGCTAAACATCCAGCTTGGCATGTGGTGGCAGAAGTCAACAAAATCAAATGTGAGCCTTTAGGCGATTCATATCGTAGCTATATATTGTGTTTTCACCCATGGTCATCCAGACAGCGTTAAGATAAACATGGACACCACGACTTGCCATGCACGTGGCTCTTTGAGACAATTATTGCGCCGGTAGTCGGGGTCGCTGCAGGGTATGCAAACACCCCCAGCTCCCTGATGCTTCCCCCAATGAAGGAAAGACTTCATATCCAAAAAATATGTCTCGCAGAAAACACATTCACCTACTGAGAACGGTAAGCTTCTTGTTGTTATCTCTTCCCGGTCAGTCAGATTTCCCGGCACCCTGACACGGTGTTTGCCAGAAACTCGCAACAACACCTACGGGCCTTTTGCCCCAATCATCCTGCGCAAACACATCAACAGGCAGCTGGGTTCATTTAAGTCACATCTTCAGAAGCATCCTATATAAGGCGGTTTCAAGGAACGCCGCCCCCAACACAAAAACTTCAAGACGCCCAGATGAAAATTAACCGGTGCCCAGAAAGCAACCTGCGGGCTCCCAGAAACACGGCCACGGCAACCAGCTGGTGATTGGCGCAACTCCGGCCTCGCTGCTCTTCACGGAGGTTGAGATCACCGTTCCTCGGGTCCGTCCCCCGCAAAAAACAAAAACCGCGCGGTTTGGTTTCAGCCAAGAATGGGGGCAGCTTCTCCTTTTTGGATCTGCTCAGGTTGCGTAGCACTGAGGTTCACAGTAGACATTGGTGGTTGAAGCTTTTGCGATGCATTCCGAATTTCTTTCAACAAAAACGAGGGTCTCATCAACAAAAACTAGGTATTCACAATCTGAAACCGCTTAATTGCCCGGCTGAGTTGCAAAAAATGATGACGCTCTTGGCAAAGCCATGACCCCCAGGCTTTGTGAGTAACACGCCAGTTGAGCGAAGGCAAAGTCTCCTGACAGATTGGATTCCTTGCAGTGAACAAACCTGAGACAAGCAAAGTACTGGTGGCCATGCGGACGAAGCAAAGGTCTGGACGCGTTGTTTGCCGGGTCTGACTTCAAGCTGATTGAACGAAGATTCGGAGAAGGATCCTTGCAGCTGTCAACTCCAGAACATCTTGCCACAAACAAATATTGTACCAAGTGCCGCAACCAACTCGGACTTCCAGTGGGCCAGGGTTTCCTTTGGGGTTCCTCAAAACGCTTTTTCCACAGGACCAAAACGGGCCCCTGGGTCTGAAGGTCTCTCGCTGACCGGCCGAAGAGCCACCGAAGGCTGGCAGCTGCGAAAGGTCCAAGCCTACGGAGAGCTCAAGGTGGGTGTTTGAAGCCACCGTGTTGTGGCTGGTTGTTGAAACAGGTGTTGCTCAACCCTCACAACAGTCATGTCACTTTGGAAAACTTCCCCGTGTTGCCCCAAGATCCTACTTGGCGCGTGCTAACTTACGCGCACTCGGGTAAAGTCACCCCGCCTGAGACACCACATTTGCACGAGTCATCCCGCTCACGTTAAGTCGTCCCGAAATGAGCAAATTCCCCTGGGGCACGCGCTTCAGGACAGCAACACTCAAGAGGGATGCAAGGAAAACGCGTGAACAGCACGTCTGACAGCACCTAAAGTTACGTTCGTCGTTCTGAAAAACAAATCACAACGGGCAACCTGGGAAGTCATTCCCAGACATGGCAAGGTGAGACCCAAATCACATACCCTAGGCGAGGTCCAGGCAAGGTTGGCCAAACAAGCCGATGCAGCAGCAGCAGCAGCAGAACCGGCTGCAGCAGCAGCAGCAGCAGCAGCAGCAGCAAATAACACGCTGGAACGACTCTGTCTGGTTTGCACGTGGGCGCCGAGAAATTTCCCAAACACCAGGGCACTCCCCACAAGCGCTGGAACATGGGGACAGCTGATCACGACTTCGCACAAGCAAGGACGAACTTAGCACAAGCGGGCGTAGTAAGGGGAACTTTTGGTGGGCTTTGCAGGGGGACAGTCTATGACCCAATTGGGGTGAAGGGTACAGTCGTCTACCACGCAGCTGCTGTTATTTTGTCTTCCCAGAAATACTGTTGCCAAAAAGGCACTAACTTATGTGACACTTATTGATTCCATGTGGTTGTTGGGCTGTCCCCGATGTTGGCTGCAACCCTGAGCGGCATGTTGCACGAAAGGCAACATTACCCACACGTGTATTTGAGCCTATCGAGCTGAATAGGTGTCTGTGGCTCATGTTCCGAAGAAATCCAGCATGAAGCTCTGCTCCGTTTACGCGGCAGTGGCATGTAAAGGCCTTCAGTATGCGTCAGAAAGTGCCGCTGAATCGGCAACATGCGGCCTCCTGGAACCCCGGACAGCTCTGCTCAAATCGGTCTGAACTGGCTGGGCAATGCCCCAAGACCTGCAACTCTGGGATTTTCGCATGCAGATTGGAACAAGCCCTAAAGCTATGGCTTGCGCTTATTCATTTAGCTGGCAGGTGTCTTTGGTGTGTTGGGACAGAAGATCATGCATACACGGTGAAGTGTCCCCTTCTGGGCCAATGCTGGCTTGTCCGTTTGATTGAAGGCTCCTTGGGCCGTGCGCGTTCTTTTCATGCCCCACCCTGACTACTAACCCAGGAAAGGGAGGGGTCAAAACGGGGCAGGTTTCAACACCCATCCCAGCCGTCGCGCGAGAAACCTTCAGAAAACAAAGAAAGCACCCGCCAGCTGCAAAGTGGCAAGTCCACAACCCTCTGATTGCCGCTCTGACAGTAGGCTGTCCAAGCCAAGCAACGAAGTGATGGAGTCAACTGCGCGGAAACAATCTGCTCATGGTTGCGAATAACCCCCCCCTCACCGCCCTCACCTCCACTTAGCCAGGAGGTAAGTCTGTGGCTGATGGGCTACCTTTCGGGGGACCTGGACGACTGGACGATTTGAGGCCCAGCCTGGGATCGCGTTCCGATGTGCGGCCTGGAAAAAGAAGGCGCACTCAACGAAATCGTGCGAAGGAAGAATCTCGTGTGGGAATCCCCGTTTTTGGGGGTTTGTATGTGAATTTGGAGTGGTGTTCCAAAGTGCCAGACTAGAGGGAATCAACAAAAATCGCCCATGAACAGCAAAATGCAATTGGGAAACCCTGCACTTGGTTGGCATGTCCGTTTTGGGGAAATATATATGCCAATGGAGGACCCCGATGTGGAAAGCAAAGGGTCTCAAAGGCTGCTCAACCATGCTGGACCCTGTCTGGCCCACGAACCACTTGCAAGACTTCCATATCAGCCCCCTATACAAAGCATGCAATCCTCGATGTGTGTATTTAGTCTATTTTGCCCACGTCCAACCGTGGCACACAAGCAACCGTTCCAACTAGTAACTTTGTGCATCATCGAGTTTGTGTGCAGTGTATCCTTTGTTTACCAAAACATGTTGCAGGCCTTGCAGGCCTCTTGCGAACGTGTCGACACCGCTGGCAAAAGTGACGAAGCCGCTGTCACAACTGTCACGGCTGCAGCGGTTTTTGAGCAATGCGCATTCAACTGAAGGACTGCAAGGTCAACAACTTTCGAACATGGACAATCAAGCACTCAAGTATCTTTTGACGGGGTCATGTCCATGTCCTGAACGTCTGGATTGGACCGCTTGTGGGCAGGTAACACCTGTCCGGGTGAAACCAGTCATTTGTGCTTTGCTTCCATTTGCTTAAGCCCCCTGGAAAAAAAACATCCAGTAGTCATAGATTCCCTTTGAAACCAACAGGGGAAAAACAGAAAAAAAGCTGAAGTAAATGGGGAAGTTTGAAGTGCAGTGCGTCAGAACAAAATCTAAAGAGCTCCTTCCCTCCTCACCCAGCCCGCCTGCGCGCTGGCACCTGAAGCTGTCTTCGCAACTTCAGCCGTTCTTTGGGGCGTCGAATCGGGAGATCAATTGAATCCCCGCTCCGCCAGGGCGAGGCACAGAAAGCCAAATGAAAAAATACCATGTTGAGATGCAACCATGTTGTTCATGGAGAGATTTCGGAGAGTGGCATGTGTTCGGGAGGCTGAAGAAGTTTGCTGGTGCCATTCGACGTTGAGCTTACTCCAACATGACGTCAAATCAAAAGACCCAAACCACCCAAAACACACTTGATTGATCAATCCGCATTTATAATGCGCAGTAACCGTTCCCTGTAGGCTTGTAGAGCTGCCAGTGCATGAAGTCGTTTGGGGGTCATTTCGCAGCCGAGAATTGATTCCACAACGCGTGAGGCTTCCGTGCGGAGCCTTTGGCTTCTGCTTCTGAGAAGAGGTAAGTCTTGGCAGAAGGACACGATAGTTGCTTCCGCAAAGGAAAAGCAGCCAGGAAGCCAAACCGCGTGTTGCTACCCTTTAGGAGCGACTTTGAGTTGCGTAAGCACGGCTTAGAGTGCGCTCCAAGGCAACGTTTCGGGAAGAAGTGACGTTTCCCTTAGCCCCACCAGATGATAGGTTCTGCAAATCATCAGCCACACCCAACCAAGAGTTTCAATGAGTGGACTCTCAAACCAAGACGGGCCCATCCAGCGGCAAATTGGACATTGTTTTAACATGATCGACTTGAATCAAGCGAATCAGTTTTCAACTCACCTATATAATCGTCGAATTGCCGGATGCCACCCAAAGAAGGAAAAGAACTAACGGAATAGAATTAATACCCCTGATGCCTGTAGAGGATTTGAATCAGGTGCACCCTGCTTGTTTTGCCTAATTTGGCCGAGATGGAGGCATCGCACGCTGCGCCGTTTTTCTGATGCAGTTCCGCCGAACGGTCTTGTCTCCTGGCTCTCGAATGCCCCCCCTGCTTCGAATCCGGTCGATGGCTCAGGTTTGCAGATCGATGGCTCAGGAAACCTCCACCGGACACAAAGGTTCTAGTAAAAAAATGTTCCCGACCCAGTCGTAGTCATAGTCACCTGTGTCTAGAAATTGGACTTTCCTTGTCAGCCACCATCTACAAGTTCAGAGGTGATAATTGGATTTGGCACTTGGGATTCAGAGCACGGCTGCGACCCCGGCAACATCAATCCGTCAACGCAACTACCCCAACATCAGTCACTTGCCTGAAAAGCCACCTTCCATTTCAGCAAGAAAGAAACAAAACCAGAAGCACGGCGCCTGAGGGCAGCAAGTACCCTACCCCGACCTCTACGTAGCTCGCAAGTTTGCCGCCTATGTCACCCTGGTTTTATCCATGTCTGCAATCTGGGCTTGGACCAGACTGCTGCCCGACTGTCTCATTGGACAGACCGAGCAAGCTCACACGCTGCATTCCTGTCGTGATGTGTCTGTGGGGGCTTGGGTGTGTATGCCAAAATGTACTCGTTATTGAACTAAGCGTGCAAAAAGCGACATCAATAACACATTAGTCACACTCCAAACGCGCCGCATCAATGCCAATTAAACCGTGGTGCTTCAATGCAAACATGTTGGCTTGTGAAGCTTGGATATTTAGGAAGCAAAATCTGGCCAAGGCGATCAACATGAACTTCTTGGTCTCATGTCTCACCTGTCTTGAGGCGGGTACGGACGAGAATCAGCAGACAACAGCCATTCATGGAGGATTCATGTGTTTCCATCTAGCGGTCCTGAAGGTTTTGCACATTTGGAGAAATGACATAATGATGACAACATGATGGTGGGGGAACACAGACTCATAGGTGAGTTGTAAGGACACATACGGAAGGTGGCCACATCTTAGGCACCTCTCCGATGCAGCTGTCGTTCAGTGGATCTACCTCACCGAACATGTCAAGACCCTGGACAGGCCTACCAGCCGACCGATGGTACGACTTCCCGAACCATACAGCACATGGAGATGACTCATGCTGGGTGCATTGGCCCATTTTGTGTGGCATACAGAAAATGTCCCAAAGCAGGCGGTGTGGATATTCTTGGCCCAGTACTGCCGAATTGTTTGCGGGTCAATTAATGTTTACTCTCTTGTTTTGTTTCTAGGCTTGCAAAGCATTTTGAATGGACAACTACCATCATGTTTCTCATTCCAAGGCATATCCGTCCAACTCTGGGATAGAGCTTCAGGCACCCCCGCAGCGTATTTGGCCATGTTTCTCCTTGCTAGGGAAAGAAGACAACAAAAAACACGGACAATGGCAAACATATGTTTGCGTTTTTCTTGTGGCTTAAATTTCAATCCGGGCTATGTCCCAACCTCCCGCAGTAGCCGTGAATGGGAATCCGTCCATTGCTCATTCAGGGCTCCCCATGTTCTTCCCTGAAACAAAATGCCACTGCAAGGAAGTCACCGGAACTAACTGTCACGTCTCAGCGCTTTTAGGGGTTGATCACTTCTATCCACCAAACAAAAAGGGACTTCGACGGTGCCTCTAAGCAACTGAGATGTTAAAGCCACCAAAACGGCTGTGTCTGATTCAAGAGTGGCAGTTTCTGACCTGGACGCGGTGATGAGAAGAGTGGCAGTTGTTTTTTCTACTTTTGTGACTTCGGCGGCTTGGAAGGTTCGCAAACAAGGGACAAAGATGTTCCTGATCGAAGCGCACTCCCAAAATGCCAAACGAGCTTGGTCCCATGGAAAGAAACATGGTCCTCACTGGGCCCGCCTCGCGTTGTTTCAGCCTACGCCCGATTGCGCACTGTCAAATCATTGCAGTGGCAAGCAAGACTCGCGGAAAGCAGCGCAGGTAATTGCACGCAAACAACAGTGAAGCCAGGTCCCAGGCGGATGTGTGTTCAGTGTCAAGAAGCAAAGCAGCCGCATGGCAAGAACCACAACAACCTCAGTTCAACCGATTAAAGTGTAGATCAAATTGTTTGGAACACAATGTTAGATATTGATGATGCTTTCCTGATAGGCTCTTGCAGGGAAAGAATTGCTTCTTGACATCCTGGAAGTCATGGCCATCAAAAGCCGTCGTCTGCCCCCTTCCCCCCAGCGCCTCATCGCACCAACGCGTAATCGCGCATAATGCTTGGGTCCGAAAGCTGAACAGAGCTCGCGCAGCAACCACAGAAGTAGTAGAGGAAGTTGTACACCACCTTATGTATGAAACGTGAAGCTGCTTGGTACTGCGGCAACCACGGGATTCATGAATGAAAGGCAATTGACCCGCCACATGCAACGTGCTTCATGTCATCGGTTGCCTGCAAACATACCTCTTTTGAGCACCACTGGCCAATATCAAGGCCTACATTTTAGGATGTCCCTCCCCGCTTCAAGCGTTTTATTGGGAAGAAGTTCTGCCTTGCAAAGGGTGGGAGCTTCTGCGTTTGCCTAAAGGGCACGGCTGGTTTAAGGCAACGTGGTGGTTGCCTTCTCCCCCTTAGAAGGCCTTGTGGCTTGATGTGATGTATTGCGCATCAGCAATTTACAGCTGCTGTGCTTTCTGTGATATAGCAGCTCAAGGACACGCACGTTATGGCAGGCGCTGGAAAGCCCTGCCTTGTGGCAATGCGTGTTGTCTCGTCTGAGGGAACAATGGCAGTCTCCTTCCATGTTCATTCTTGTTCAACATGCATCTTCAACGCCAGCCAGCAGCGATTTCCAAAAAGCCCATGGCCAACGCCTTTTTACTCTTAGACCTTATGGCTTGCTGAACGTGTCGGGAAGAGGATTCAAAATCGCAAGGAACCGAAATTTCTTAAACTGATCGGGGCTTGGGCCCTGGCATTTTGCCAAGTTTGTCGAGCATGCGTTTCTGCTTGCTCGAACATGAGCCCAAGATTGGCAGATCTCTGCAACTCGGTTGTGCCAATACCCTGTTTTTTCCCACATGTTCAACACGCGTATTGGCTCAACATCATGCTGCTTGCCCTGTAATCCTGGTATGGTATGGTCGTTTTTCACACTGCCTAAGCCTGACCCCTCCATTTGCTTAAGTCCCCTGCAAACAAATATGTTCAGTAGCGACAGACTCCTTTTCAATCCAACAGGGGAAGAAAAAGGAGCATACTCTTCAGCAAGAATAAGCATTTTCTCCAGTAGTACGTAATAGATTCCCATTCAAACCAACAGGGGGTACGAAAAAACAAACACTTATAAGCAACAAGAAACATTTTCTCCAGTAGAAATCCGCCGACCCCTTTGCAAAAGCAAAGTTAGTCTCTGCAAAGGGGCGAGGCGTGTTCTAAGTGGTGGTTAGGGGGAGTCTGAGGGGGGGAGGGGGGTCCCGCAGCGGATTTTTGACACGCCTAACCTCTAACCCTAACCTCTAACCCTAACCTCTAACCCTAAACCCTCTAACCCTAACCTCTAACCCTAACCTCTAACCCTAACCTCTAACCCTAACCTCTAACCCTAACCTCTAACCCTAACCTCTAACCCTAACCTCTAACCCTAACCTCTAACCCTAACCTCTAACCCTAACCTCTAACCCTAACCTCTAACCCTAACCTCTAACCCTAACCTCTAACCCTAACCTCTAACCCTAACCTCTAACCCTAACCTCTAACCCTAACCTCTAACCCTAACCTCTAACTTTAACCTCTAACCGTGAGGATGGATGATGATGATGAAAGACTAGGAAGATGACGGAAGACTACGGGAAGATGACGGGAAGGAAGCTGATGACGGAAGCTGACGGGAAGATGACGGAAGACTACGGGAAGAGAACGGAAGACTGCGGGAAGATGGCGGAAGACTACGGGAAGATGACGGAAGACTACGGGAAGATGACGGGAAGATGACGGAAGAAACCTGACGAACCCTAACCTCTAACCCTAACCTCTAACTTTAACCTCTAACCGTGAGGATGGATGATGATGATGAAAGACTAGGAAGATGACGGAAGACTACGGGAAGATGACGGGAAGCTGACAGAAGACTACGGGAAGATGACGGAAGAGTACGGGAAGCTGACGGGAAGAAGATGACGGA